AGGAGTCCACTAATAAACACTCAACCAGACCCTCCGTCCAGGAAGATCGGAGCTTCCCACCGGCATTCAAAACACAGCACCACATTCCATTCCATTCCTTATCTCTCGTGGTTGGGGCAGTTTCGGAAAAATGCCCAGCACTGATTGTGTGGCACCTTCTTCGCCTTGGGCACCCCCCATTTCTTCATGATTCAGTGCACCTCTGTCAGAAATGTCATGGCAGTGATACAGTCTCCCCTTGGCATTCTGTCCAGTGACACATTCTTTCAATCCGTCCTGCTACTGAGCATACATAAACTTTATCTGCTCTGATGTGCCAGGCTTTCCACTATCCACTTAGAAAAGCTTTTCTTTCTCTCTCTCTCTCTGCACTTCCTATGCTGTAGAAACATAACCGGAAACCATGTATATATCCTGTTCCTATCACATTTTCATCATACAGATTTATTGGTATCAGTATGAAAAGAACTTACTACTTTTTAAATGGATTATAATCCAATACTTCCAGTATTTCTTTCAATGCCGCCATTGCCCACTTTGGGGCGGCAGCAGCCTCTTCCAGCTGGCTTCTGTGCCGTTTTCTGATATTTCTCGCGTAATTCTCCAAGCACTTTTTTACTTTCTAGTGCAATAGGATATTCCAAATTTCTCTTGCATTTTCCATCTACCCTAAAATAAGCTATTTCATTATCAACAACAAAAATATACCTAGTTCCTTCCAATGAAGAACATTATTTACCTCTGTACCTGAACAATGTGTTAGTCATTGCTACAAGGGGTGGGGGATAAACTTCTCGTAGGTTAGTTCAGGGGCCTGAACTAGGAAATTTCAGATAGAGAGACAGAGAAAACACACACAAACACACACACGAAGACGCTGCAGAGGCTGAATAAAGGCCTCTGCAAGAGGTCTACACCCTGATCCCTGGGCTTTGTTGAGCATTTCCTGAATGGCACAGACAATGAAGACACACAAAAGTCTAAAATAAATTCCTAACGACGGAGGACCACCCGATTCGCCCAGATCAACACTAACTACAACATGTCCTTTCAAGAGGAAAGCAAGGGAGACTCGAGTGTGAAGGAAGTCTTGTGACAAAGGAACAAAAAAGCTTGGAAGTCGGAGTGAGGGCCCAGGAGATGAGGGGTGCAGTTCTAGAGACTCAAACGCCAAGGAAACAGGCTCTAGACTCCCCAGAGGCAAGGACTGCAGGAATACAGAGGAAATACACACACCAAGGCACACCTTCTACCTGCACGTATTTCTGCATCTACCGATTTAAGTAGAGAGCCATGAGTTCACGCTCATAGTCTCCATGAATGTCCTACTGTTGCTTTCAAATAAAAATAAACAATCAATGAAATAACTGTATTATCATGAAATATAATGAAATAACTGTATGGAACTCTAACTTTACGGAACTCGATATTTTAAGTATACCGTTCCTTGTCAGTGCGGTTCATCCAAATAGACTTTGATTCTCCACTGTAATGAAGACTCTCCACTAAAATTAAGAAATTTCTATTACTGAAAAACAAGCCATCCATTCTTCATGTATCTGGCAACATGCATGATTTTTCCTTTAAAAAATACCCGAGGGCCAGGCGCAGTGGTGCAGTGGTTAAGGTCCTCGCCTTGCACGCACGGGATCCCATATGGGCACCGGTTCTAATCCCAGCGGCCCCTCTTCCCATCCAGCTCCCCACTTGTGGCCTGGGAAAGCAGTCGAAGACGGCCCAAAGCTTTGGGACCCTGCACCTGCGCGGGAGACCCGGAAGAGGCTCCTGGCTTCGGATCGGCATAGCATCGACCCGTTGTGCTCACTTGGGGAGTGAATCATCAGATGGAAGATCTTCCTCTCTGTGTCTCCTCTCTATATATCCGCCTTTCCAATAAAAAATAATAATAAAAATAAATAAATAAATCTTAAAAATACCCGACATATGCTTGCACATCAACAAGTGGGGGGAAAAAAACGTGCTTGGCAGGAGGGGGTGGCTACATATTCCCCTTAGAACCAGCCCCTATTTTCTTGACAGGCTAATTGGACAGATATCCCCACAGCCAATAATACCAGCCAGGAAAACTAGGACAGAAACTGTCTCAAGAACAGGGAAAAGCCAAAAACAGCCAGTAGACAAATGATGTAACCGCGAAGGCAAACCTTTAATCCACGAGGGTTACAGCAGCATGGAAGCCAACGGGTAAAACAGGAAATCTTCTGCAAGGCCACAGAGCAGAGAGCAAGACTCAGTTCCTTGCCCAGTGCTCATCCCGCCCTCTGCCCGCTTGTGTGTCTGACTGTGTGATCACAGGAGACGAGAGCTAGATTCACGGCCCTTTTTTTTTTCTTTTATTAAATAGCATAGCTTTTTTTTTTTTATTGTTGCTTACATTGTATTATGTAGTACAGTTTTATAGGCACTGGGGATTCCCCCCACCCCTCCCATACCCCTCCCCCCAGGGTGGATTCCTCCACCTTGTTGCATAACCATAGTTCAAGTTCAGTTGAGATTCATTGCTTGCAAACACTTGCCTAGCATAAAGTTCAGCGTCTTATTGTCCAGATAAGTTCAGTGGCCTCTTGGGGAGACCTTCTATGGTCTGAAGATAGGTCTAACAGAGTAAAGATCCGGTCCTTTTTAAAGCACCCAGCGGGTCCATTTTCATTTTCCCACCAGCTGCTGCCTACACACTTCGCCCATTTCTCGAAAGCACCCTCCCCCGGGATAGGGGCAAATGGGGCATGACTGCTGCTCTTGGGGCCAGCTGCCTACTGGGGACTGCCACAGTCACCACCTGGCTCCCTTTGCAAGCATATGGAATTGGGGGCACTGCTCAAACTCTAAACAAGTCTTCTTTGCATAACCTTCATCGTGGACCCATTATAGTTGTCCTCTGACCAAACAGGGAGAGTGCAAGACCCCTCCTAGGAACTGTGCCTTACTCCAAGCAGGGCTGTGAGTTCATAGCACATTAGGACTTTCACAAATTCAGATGGCTGCTTTATTTGGTGAATGCGAATGTGGAGTAGGAAGCCGGGGGGTTAGAAATCTTTGTTAGACGAACAGCGGTCAGGTTTTCCTAACTCATATAGCTCCTTCATTCATACTCCAAGGAACCGAGGAATTGGAGAGCTTCAAAGGGAGAGATTAAAAGAAAATTAACAACTACACATTATTAGTCCACAGTATCTCCTCCTCCGCCTTTCCCATCGTTTGCCTAGAGGTAGCATGATAAGCAAGAGCCGTCTTCAGCGCAGACAGACCCAACAGGCCAGTTCTCCTTGTGCCTCCTCTTTTGCTGCCCGTCCCTGTCTTCCTTGGGCTCTGAACAGAAGCGTGCTTCTGACAATGTTTAAAATCCATAAATGAAGCAGACACGTTCACAATTCACATTTTCCAAATAAAAAATAATCACATGGCGTGGCCTCGGAACGGCCTCTTCTCACTTGCTACAGGCTTCAGGTTCTTCACCAGGAGACGGGTTCTCCACACAAGGGGAGCAGCTCAGGGTCCAAGGCGGGTCATATGAGGAGAGGGCGACGAGCCACAGGCAACCTCAGCCCAGTACGATCAGGATCTCCACGAGGAAAGCCACCAGACTCTGAATAGACAGCATTTTCATAATTGCTCCTCTGGTTATTCACCCACCAAGAAGAGAAAAAGGAAGGTGAGGTACTGAGAGCCATTGAAACGAAAGCAAGCACCAGGCAAGGCAGAAAGAGGACACCAGCTCGCAGCCTGTGCCAGGAAGCCTTACAAACTCAGCAGCATCTAAAGAGGTTTGGAGCCTTGGTAGAAATCCCATGAAGAAGTTAACATCAACGAAAACCACGTCATCAGCCTGATTTACCTAAATGTGCTTTTACAGATTTATTTATTTTTATTGGAAAGTCAGATACACAGAGAGGAAGATCTTCTGTCTGCTCATTCACTCCCCAAGTGACTGCAATGGCCAGAACTGAGCCGATGCAAAGCGAGGAGTCAGGAGCTTCCTCCGCGTCTCCCTAAAGTTTTAAGGAATGTCTACTGGCACACTGACAATCAGAAAGGTGCTAAATGTGGAGTCCAGTTGGGAACCGGGAAGACAGTTTTCTCCCCTTGGCTGGCCAGCTCTGCAGTTCCTTTTCTTTGCAAAGTTCCACCAGGTGGTACCTGTGCTGTTCAACTTGTACCAGCCTGGCCTGGGCCTTACAAGTTAGACATACTAATGATTCTCCTTGGCTAAAGTAAAAACACATTTACAATTTCCTTCTCTTAGAAGAAGATATGTAAGTGACAAAATAAGTATTCTTTTCCACTTGGTCTGACTCATTTGCTCAAACTGCAATTATAGAGAGGAGGGCGAAATATAAATATCCTGGCATTCATAAAATCCATGACATGAGCAATCCAAAACAGCCCATGAAATCTGAGGAATAATCATCATACTAGTCAGGAAAGTCTGTACATGCTATCTACATTTCACTAAAGCAAAACTGTCTCCCAGGACGTGTCCCTCTGGAGAAACATCAGACGATTGTGATTCGGTAACTCAGAAGGAATCAAAGCGCCGACGGGCAAGCATTTGGTTCTGCCTGCCGGATCTAAGTCCTGAGCAGACGCTACAAGTGCGCGCTGCCTGACAGTGAACAGATGCCACCAGGCAGAGATGTGCATGAGCTGGGCTCAGTACGTCTGTGGGGAACATGTATAAAGACACAGGAAAGAGGGGACATCAACAGCTGAGCCAACAGAGCTCTCCAGCCAGCTAGCTGATGGCAAAACTCAGACACTGCTCTGAAGGCGGCAGTCCTCACAGCACAAATCTTAAACAAAAAAAAAAAAAAGGTACCAGGGAAACCAGACCGACAGGTTGGGATTTGTGGCTCACGTGGGGAGTTTGCACTTTTATCAATGGCTTTCAAGGAAGGCAGTCAGCAAGAATACTGCCACAAGCTGCACAGCTGATTTTGTGCCTGAGAAATACAAAGGGTACAAGCCTGCGGAAAACTTACCCTTGCTACTAAAGGCAGGTCATCCTCGCAACCAGTGGACTTCCTACAATGAATGAACAACGAGCGAACGCAAATGGCCTTTGTTCTGTAATACAGAATGCTGGAGAATAAATTTCACACACTCACTCACTCACTCTAGGGCTTCAGCTCTCCTGAGTTCTGAGCATCAGAGGCTTGTTCTGCCTTTATAATATAACTTGAGGATAACGTGATACGCTATAGTTCATAGGCTTAGTTCTGACAATTCTTAGTGTTTTTATTAGGTACTATCTATGCTTAATCTTAAGGATCCCAGCTTGAGGGGCTGCGGTATAGTGGGTAAAGGCCATGCCTCCAGTCGTAGCAGTATTCCATAGGAGTACCAGTTCAAGTACCGACTGCTCCACTTTCAATCCAATTCCCTGCTAATGTGCCTGGAGAAGCAGAGAAAGCCCAAATCCTTGGGCCCCTGAACGCAGATGGCAGATGTGGGTGAAGCTTCTGACACCTGGCTTTGCTGCAGCCATTTGGGAGTGAACCAACAGATGGAAGGTCTCTCTCTCTCTATGTAACTCTTTTAACTAAATATATAAATCATCTTTTAAAAAGAAGAAAAACACGGAAGAAGAGCAGAAAGAGAGAATGCTTGTTTGAGCTTGTGAAAAATCTAGAAACTGACTAGCTTACAAATAATTAAGTTATAAATAAGCAGAATTTGGGAGTTCAGGTCTGAAAGACTGGCCTCTATAGTGTGTCAATTCATGTAATAATAAAACCTGGCTAAGTCAGGTTGACAGCTTACATCAGTTCATGAACAAAAACTACTGATCTGAATCCGATGACAGATGCCTACATGTGCCTTAGAGAACTGAGAACAAAACACCTGCTGAACTGGAGCAAATTAATTAAGAACCTGAGGCAGTACACAGTATCATTAGAGTAGCAGCTTCATTCTCTGAAACTAATGACCCAGCAAACACATCCTGGGCCTCCGCAGCAGAGCTACAGAGCAGCCAAAGTGTGCGTGTTTCAAAGATCATGTGGTTAAATATGGTACACCTTATGCTGCCAAACCCTTCAACCCTTTGGGCACCTGCATATGGACAATTTTGAGAACTTTAGTTATTTGCCAACTCTTTGGCTGACTCCAAACACAGAGGTCCAGCAAGTGGTGAGGTGGTATCTCAGTTTCTTCCTCCCAAATCACTCATCTCAAGGTCTCTCCTCATCCCACTGTGATCTCCCACCTGAAAGAGGCAGCCAGGCTCCAGGGCACAGTACAAGTCTCGCCTCTGGCCCTAAAACCACTCCACCCTAGGCAACATTTATCACATTACCCATTGCCTGGAATGTCAACAGAACTTACTGTCTGTGTCAGTTTCAACATCTGCAATGTCTCCCATACTAACAGTTTATTGAAATCAAACAAGTAAGTCCACACGCTGCCTCCTTCTCTCTGTGTGTGTCTCTCTCCCTCTTTGTCTCTCTGAATTCATTGCTTTCTAGTGCTTATCGGTTTTCACCTACTTGAAGAGAAGAGACAAACATCTCCAAAGGCCCATAGTGACCAAGGCTGGGCCAGGTCAAAGCCAGAAGTCCGTCTGGGTCTCCCATGTGGTTACAAGGGGTCCAAACAGCCAACAATTGCTGCCTCCCTGGCTGCAAATCCCAGGGAGCAGGATCAGAAGAAGCAGAGCGCCTGGGATCTTAACTATCACTCACACAGGACACAGATGCTCCACGGACTGCCTTAACCTGCTGAGCAGCAACACCCACCCCCTCTCCCAGGTCTAATTACTTGGATGCATGCCCTGAGGAAAAAAAAAAACAACAATCATCTACTGATTTTGAATAGTTATACATGTGGATTATGGTCTTCTGCAGGTAAGCAGGAGTCCTAATTAAGAAGATATCAAATATGTGTTTTCATTAATAATCAGTAACATATCTGATTAGACTACAAGCCACAAGGAAACAAAAGAACAAGCTGATGTAGATATGACTCGGAAGAGAGTTCTCTGAATCTCAGAGGAGTAAATTCCAGCAGGAACCATAAAATTATGGGAATCTGTCCAACAAAGAACTGGAGAAAAACCAATCATGAAAATGGGGAAACGCATCGTACACCGCCGGCTGCTGGGGACTGCAAGCTGCCACGCAGCTGCTGCTTAGTGACACTGCTCATATAAAGGGACCGTCCCAAAAAGGGGAGAGAAGACAGTGATACATATAATCGACAGATTCCAATGAGATCGCTATTAGAATGCTAAATCTAATTGAAGGAATAATGGAGATGAGCTGAAAATGAGACTTAGGGCTGTGGCTGAGAAGTATAAAACATCTGAGAAAGTATAGTCAATGTAGCAGTTAAGATACTGACTAAGATGCCTCCATGTCACAACACAGGACCTGAATTCTTAGCTCCGGCTCCCAATCTGAGTATCTTTTGGAAGTAGACCCTAGCAGGATGAAGGTGGGTGATAGCTCAGACAGCTGGGTTCCTGCCACCTGTGTGGGAGACCCAGCCTGAGCTCCTAGCTGCTATTGAATCAGTCTGGTCCATTTGGGGAGTCATCAAGCTAATGAGGGTTTATATCTGTCTTTTTCCCAAAACAAAACAAAAACAATTATTGTGAAATAAATATACTCTTAAAACCTAGAAAAGATAAAATTGCAATGTCCATGAAAAACAGATAAAATCAGCAACGTTTTTAGCTGCATCTTTAGGAGAAGCTCCCTGAGAATGAGCATTGTTAATGAAACAACAGATGAAACAATATTATCCTTTTTTAATTAGCCAACTCAATACCTAGGAGCTTACAGTCACTATCACAGCAGGGACATCAGTAGAGAGCATACAGAAGGTTACAATCTAGCAAATCTAAAGACAAAACAGACAAATCAAGACACACACGCATATATGCACTACACAGATACAGATATTCCTCCAAGGAGAGTTACAGTTACCATAAAGGTATGTATCCATCCAGAATCAAACACCACAGAATCAGACACACTAAGGAAGCCATCCCCAGATCTCAGTCAGTAGCACTCGCTCTCCTCAGTACCAAGCAGCAGTGACTGCCTGCTTTGCTGCTGAAACCACAGCACATCTATGACCCTGGCTTTCGTTGAGCAGAAATGGCACATTGAAAATGCAGACATGTCAGCAGGACTCTCAAAACCTTGCCATCAAATGCCTGGAATCCTCGGAAGGCCATGCACCTTTCTCCATCATGCACAGGCTCCGTGAGCTTTCTCAAGATGCCAATATAGACACACAGAAGCGATGTGACCTACAGAAAGGGGCAGGTAATGTTTTTGCGTGGGTGAGGAATGCAAAACTGCTGCAAATGTCTCTCCTGTATGCTTTCTTTCATACAGGTGAAAAGAAATATCTTGGCGTGAGAGGGGAAGTTACCTCAGCTGACTACCCAAGCTGGTGGTGCTGGTCTCACTTCCCAGCATCCCGCTCTGAAGTTAACACACCTCCAGCTGCTGGAGAATATGCCTAGATGGGTTTAAAAATCTTTTTTTTTTTTTAAATGTAAGGAAATATCCCAGACAGCATCACACGGGCTGGACCCTAGCCAAACTTCCCCCCATCTATATATTCCATTCATGCATCACCTCCCAATAAAGGTGGCAGCTGAGCAGGGGTGGCAGGATTCTTTCTGGTGAATTTCCTACACTTCTGTCTATACTATCTCCTGAATCTCTGTGAATAAATCCTGCTCCCATTCTTGTACTGTCTACACCCACATACAGTATACACGCATGCACGCACACACACATGTGTGTCTGAGAACTTGGGCGAAATCCAGCTGGGGACACCTTTGTCCCCCAGAACACCGCCTCTCTGTGAAGGCTGCTGTTGGTTTCAGGTAATCTGTCTTCAAGAGGACGGCCACCTTCTGGTGCGCAGGAGAGACCGGTACCTTGGCAGGAAGACAGCACCCTGGGACAGCCTGGACTCACAGGGAAAGCAGCTCAATTAAAATGTGTTAAGAAACATGGTGCTCTAATTCTAATACTACTAAAACAGCGGAAAACTAGCACTTCAGCACTTACAACCTGGAGCAGTGGATTTAGTTCTGAGACTCTGGAACAATCCACAGAATTAACAGCGGTGACTTCCTGCCCACTCATGAGCCAGTCTTGACTCCTTTACGGCAAGGCTTCCGGGATCCCTAACGCTGCTGGCGCATCCTCAGTGGCCTAAACTGGCTACTTTTCCACAAGGCACAAAAGACTCCGTGTGTACAACTATTCGTCACTCATTCAGAGGCAGCAACTTGCGTTTTCCGAGCAGAGCCATCCTTTCTGCGTACTCTAAAGCGCCTAGAGATCCTAACATAAATAAGGTGACACAGATTTCACTGTGGACTAGATATATGAGGAACTACCATTAATTATGTTGCTTTTAGAAGAGTTTTTTTTTTTACTGATTTATTTATTTTTATTGGAAAGGCAGATACACAGAGATGAGGAGAGATAGAGAGGAAGATCTCCCATCCAATGATCCACTCCCCAAGTAACCGCAATGACCGGGGCTGAGATGATCTGAAACCAGGAGCCAAGAGCTTCTTCCGGGTCTCCCAGGTGGGTGCAGGGTCCCAAGGCTTTGGGCTGTCTTCATGTTTTCCCATGCCACAAGCAGGGACTTGGATGGGAAATGGGGCTGCTGGAAGTAGAACCAGTGCTTGTATGAGATCCCGCACAAGGTGAGGATTTGAGCCACTGGGTTACTGCGCTGGGCCCCAGGTTTTTTCATTTCTACATCCCTGAAATGCTTTTAAAGCACTAGTCCTGGAATGTTTTCGAAAACTATAAAATGTTTAAAACATTACTGAGACACAGTTTGCATGACTAACTTATTCTTCATTGAGCTTGTACTCATAAAAAGATTCATTCATGTTCAAAGCTATTTTTAAATGTGCCTAACTCATGTTTAGAACACATTAACAATTAAGCATTATATTTGGGTGAAATTTTAAGAGTGTGGAATTATATTTCCTCCCTTCCTATTTCCCCCAGGCTCTGCCATCCTGAATATCAACATTATTTTAAACTTTGCTGTGTTCCTGTACAC